AATACTTATAAAAATAAAATACTTATAAATATGAATTATTAACTATAACATTAATTATTAGCAATATTTATTATATTGATTATTGTTATTATTACAACAACAACAACAACAACAACAACACACTCCCACTCTTTGCAATGGGGACCAACAAACCAGATTAAAGTAGCTTCTACCTCCATCAGTTGATACTGTCTCTCTCACCTGTGGGGCTGTTTTCTGGCAGGCGTACAGCGAAACTGGATGGATTGAAGACAGGTGGGTTGTCATTTATGTCGAGGATGGTGATTGTGAGTGGAACGGTGCTGTTTAAACCTCCCACATCCTCCCCAAGCAGAAACAGCTCCACCCGCGGCACAGAGAAAGCCTCCCGGTCCAGCACAGCACCAGCACGCGCCGATACCACCCCTAGAGAAACAGAGAGAGGGGGTGGAACAGAGAACGTGTCATGAGCAGGAGTAGTGCTTGATTACGAGAAACTCTGTGGGTGTATGAAAGGTGGGAGGACTGCTATCTTGCATAACTGACACCACAGATATAAAACTATCTACATATTTAAAGGAATTAAATTTAAGATCATTTAATCATTGAAAAAAAGACCAATTTAAGACCAACTTTGAAAAAAGATTGTATTAAAAGTTACATTTATTTGATGTTAAAATACTTTCTTAATTTAATATACAAAGTAAGTAAACTAAATAGTGCAAACTATATTATTGAGCATCCTGACCAACCTGACACAGCAAAACTGACTTGAGTTTATATGTTTTTCAACCAATGGCAGACGGGGAATGTTTGGAAAATCTGTTATTATTTTTCCACTTTCGTTTGGTGACACAAAACTAAATAAACAAAACAAAACAAAATAAACAAACAAAACAAAACAAAACAAAGCAAAGCAAAGCAAAGCAAAGCAAAACACAAAACAAAACAAAACAAAACAAAACAAAACAAAACAAAACAAAACAAAATAATGGACTGTACTAGCAGAAAAAAACTCTACTACTACTACTACATCAATGTGAGCAGTCGAACTGAATATTACCCTCTTGATATTATCTCTTGAAGACATCAACATAAAGTTTTTAAAAACACCTTGAGGCCTTTCATTTTGGAAAACATGAAAACAAAACAGACATAATCGATAGCATCTGTGCTTAACTTCAGACCTGTGCGGGAGTCTATGGAGAAGAGGTCCACTCTGTTTCCCAGGAGACGATACCTCACCACCGCATTCTCCCCAATGTCTTTGTCCTCTGCTAGAACTGGGCCGTTTAGAATCAATACAGTGGTGCCTGATGGACAGACAGACAGACAGAGGTTCAGCTTAGATCTGATGTTAAATGAGTCATGACCATCACTGCTCATCTTGTATTTATTTCCTCTCAGAGTATGTTATATTAGTATTTAGAATCAATACAGTGGTGCCTGATGGACAGACAGACAGACAGACAGAGGTTCAGCTTAGATCTGATGTTAAATGAGTCATGACCATCACTGCTCATCTTGTATTTATTTCCTCTCAGAGTATGTTATATTAGTCACAACTTCGGCTGCCCAAAACTTAGTTTTTCATGCTTATTTTCATGATTAATAGCAGACTCGTGATGTCTCCTGAAATCCTAAATCACACCGTTTACCACCATTTACACCAGAGGAGAAAGTTTCTCTTGAGGTTTTTTCTCCACTGCGGGCACCTGGAGGAGTATGGGTTCCTTGCTACTGTTGCCTTTGTCTTGCTCAGTTGGAGTTTAAAAGACAATTAATGTTTAAAAAAGTATTATCTGTTTGACTGCACTGACACTATCGGATGAGAACAAAACTTGAATTACACTATAATGACATTATTGTTTTCTGCAGAGATGCATATGAAGTTGTTTCATAATTGATGACTTTTGTAAAACTGACAGTTATCGAACTGAATTGGATCAACACTGAACTAAACTGAGCTGAATAATGACACTAATGTTTTCTGTCGAGCAGCTTTATTGCTCAATCAAATTAGTTTCATAACTGACGAACTGCAGCATTGACACTTTTACTGAAATGAATCACTGAGCTGAATAATGATTGTCTTCTGTAGACCTGCTTATACCTTTAAGACTTCTTAGTAAACTTGTTGGTTAATCTCTTCACGTATAAAATACGTAATAGTGCTTATTTATGGGTTTCAGATTTATATTATGTTCTAAATACCAAATAGGTGTTATCAATGTGTAATTGTGAGCGATGATTTGATGTTAACACAAAATGTCAGAAATTGTATTTTTGTTCTGAATTCTGAAAGTTACACAATGTATTCATAGTGCAACAAACTTCTGCTTCAAAACCTTTGTCATTACAAAGGCAATCAACACAGATATAAACAAGATTAAAAAGCTTTTCTTCTTAGCCCTACATGATCTTAATTTCTGAGAGTCAGGATGTCGTTAGAGAGAACACTGGGTACCTGTGGGGGAGTTTTCACTGATCTCGCCCCTGTAGCTGGACTGGGTGAAGATGGGCCTGTTGTCATTCACATCCAGCACAGTCACCACCAACAACTCTGAATCCTGAGCAGAGAGAAAAGAGTCTCATGACAAAGTTATCCTGATGATGCCTTTCATGCCATCTGTGAAACCTGAATATGTTGTGTTATTTACCCTGCGTGCAATGCGAGGGTTGTCTGGGTTATCTTTGACGGTGATGGTGAGGCTGTATTCAGCCACTCTCTCTCTGTCCAGCGGCCTGTTTACCTGAACTACACCTGACTGGAGGGAAGAGCACATTAGTCTATTCACTCTTACATTATTATTTCTGTCTCTTATCAAAAAAGGGGGAAAAATTATTTTCTTCCCTATATCCCTCTGTCTCTTACGGTCTCATTAATGTAGAATGATCCATCACTGTTGCCGGCGGTGATGCTGTATGTGAGGAGAGCATTGCGGTCGCTGTCAGAGTCTTGTGCCCGCACTTGCGTGATGGAGGTGTGGATCGGTGCTCCCTCGCTCACGCTGGTGTTATAGGGTAAGTTGAGCAGGATGGGGTCGTTATCATTAATGTCCAACACCTGAATGCTCACTACCACCTGACACAGAAAAACAAAACCACAATATGAATTATGGGAAATATAAGTAATTCAGTACATACTAATTCACACATATAAACCATACTAAATAGTTTAAAATAACACAATTAATGTGGCTTGAAACCCATTTCCTATTATTAAGTGTGTATTTGTGCATGCTTTATAGATTTAAAGCATTTTCTTTCAATGTTTTCAATGGAAAAATGACAGATTTGGGGAACAATGTAATTGTGTTTTTTTTTCTGATACAAATTTCAATTGCATTTATTTTTTTAAAGCTCTGGGTTTGCTGTGTTTGTTTGTAGGACTGCACAATTTAGCCAAAATGTTTTGTAATTATATATCAATATGACTAGAAAAAATTATAAAAATAACAATTATTATTATTATAAAATAAAACTATTAAAAATAAATATTGTTGTGGTAAAATTTCACTGTAAAATACAAATTGAGGATTTAAGTAAACTAATATAATTATAATTTTATTTTACAACTGTAAAATTACAATACTAATATTTATGACTGATTTAACTGCTTCATTTATATATACAGTATATTATAGATTTGAATAACTGCGGACAAAAAAAGGCTAATAGAATAGGGGGAAAATTTGTGATCTTTCTGATAACATTTTTAAAATTTTTATTTATTTAAAAAAATAATATTTTTAATCACCAGGTTTGCTGTGCTTTTTTGTATTAAAAAAAGAAATACTACTATTGCAAAGTAAAATAAAAGATTTAGTTTAAGACAATTTTTTAATTTTCAAATGTTAAAACCATCTAACTTTTATTTTGGTGAACTACAGGGAGGCCTTAAAGCTTCTCCTTTGTTGACAACAGATGGATTATAAGCACGATTACAAGGAAGATAGTCGGAATATATTGCATTCCCAAATGCAACCCAAACTCAGAGCAGATGCAGAGCAGCATTTACTGTGAACCGAGCTTCTCTAAGAACAAGGTTTTTTTTTTTTGCACAAGTAGCTCTTGTGCAAAAGAACCCAATGCAGTCTCGTTTTGAAAAACACAGCTCATATATCTAATTAGATTTCAGACTTTTCAGTTTCAATTTTCAGTTTTATTTAGATCAATTGTGAAGCTCTAATGACAAGAGATGCTGTTTTTAAAAGTATGAAAATAATGAATTTTAGTAATAACAAATATCAATGTAATTAATTTAGCTTGATGCTTAACTACAAATCCAAACTGTACACAACAAAGAGGTTTGTGGTGTCACAGTGCAATTTAGTATGTCCCAATACTGGCCTACTGTCTTCCCACATACTCAAAAGTATGTACTTTCCCATCAGTTCATAATTTTTGGCATAGTAGAAGATTAAGAACTGAATGTGTGTGGGGGTGTTTACCGTAGCGCTGAGCGCTGGCGTTCCCAGATCTTTGGCAGTAATGGTGATGTTGTAATAGGCGATAGTTTCTCTGTCCAGCTCCACATCTCTCCTCACTCGTAACTCTCCCTCAACCGATGAAATGACAAACTCATCTGAGAAAGAGAGAGACAGAAAGAAACAGAGATAGAGAGAAAGGAACAACTCCATTTTAAAGGCAGACAGGAAATTGCAACACAAATAATTTTTCTGATTGGATCTGAATAAACTGTCTACCACACACACACACTTTTCAGGTCCCCTGCGGTGATGCTGTACTCCACTTTTCCGTTGGATGCCGAGTCGGCATCCGCTGCTTTAACGGTCCACACACGTGGACCCGGCTGACCCTCTGTGATTTCAAACGGACCTTCGAATGGTCTCGGGAAGATGGGTGCATTATCGTTCACATCTACCACATTCACCAGGACCTGCGGTAAGGGGAGTGTGTGAGTGTGATATAAAGTAATCATGTGGATTGTATATGTGTGTGTAGCAGATATGAACTCACTGTGGTGCTGGAGGTCAGTCTGAACTGAGGTATAGGACACTGATCTGTAGCTGTGACCGTCAGCACATAATGACCATTACTGATCTCATAATCCAGCTCCTTAATGACCACAATCTGACCCTGTCAACACACACAACAAACCCACAATGAACACGCACAGCATCATCATGAATCATTCTCAGAAAGTCTTTTGTAAACTATCTTGTCTCTTTTGAAAGATTTTTTAAATGTACTTTTATTCTGCAAGGATGCAATAAATTGATCAAAAGAGACATTTATAATGTTACAAAAGACTTCTATTTCAAATAAATGCTGTTCATTTAAACTTTCTTTTCATCAAAGAATCCTGAAAAAATATATCACAGTCTCCACAAAAATGTTAAGCAGTTTTCAACATTGATAATAATAAGAAATGTTTCTTGAGCTGCAAATCAGAATGATTTCTGAAGGATCATGCGACACTGAAGACTGATGCTGAAAATTCAGCATTGCATAACAACAATAAATTACATTTAAAAAAAATATATTCCTTTTTTAAAAAAATTTTTATTGAAATAATATTTCACAATATTTCTGTTTTTACTGTATTTTTAATCAAATTAATGCAGCCTCAATCAGAACATTTAAAAAATCTTACTGACTGGGAGAAAAGTTTTTCATTCAGTATTTGTCACCATTTCATTGTTTACACTTATATTGGACTTTTCAGGCTCAGTTTTAGAAAAACTATATATAATCTAATGTGTTTACTTGGGTCATTATGTAAATGAGTTATCTATGTAATCTATGCAAACTCTAAGTATTTGAATTCAAAAATTACGGTGTTGGGTTAAAATAATAATGCAGTCAATTGTGTACAAACACAATCCTGGTTTACAGTCTGTCACTCTCTGACCCCCTCACCGTTATGCTATTGATCTGGAACGTCTGGGCCAGGTTGCCCTTGGAGATGGCATAGCGGATGGTTCCATTGAGTTCTTCATCAGGATCGATGGCAGTAACTGTTGCGATAATGGCTCCTACAGTGTTTGGCCCCTCTCTGAGCTCCGTCACATACTCTTCCTCTGGAAACTCAGGCGCATTGTCATTTTCATCAATTATACGGACCCAAACGATGGTGGACGTCTGTGGAAATGGATGACAAACAGCAAAACATGAAACACTTGTAATCATTTTTCAGTAATAACTATATATGTAAACATGCCCCTTAAAAATAAATGTGAGAAGTGTATCAATGCATTGCAAAAATAAAACTTTCAATATATTATTTCATTTAAATAAATAAATAGTATGTTACAGAATCTGTCTACAGCAAGGCAATGTTTATGGTCTTTGGATGAAAGTATTTGCATGTGAACACACTATGCATCAGTGTGGAGCAACCTTTATCTCATGGTATCATGGTAAACTAGTGTAGCAAGTTTGAATGCTATTTGCATAACCTGATGGTGTGTGTGATGGCAGGAGGTTACTGATGTGTGCATTTCTTCTGGCGTCTGACGCTATCAGGTATCAGATCCAAACTGATACCATGTCTCCCCTCAAAATACACTCAAGCAGTTCGCACAAGCGCTGAAACTGAAATTTGGTCAACTATGACAAACATTGTGAATATGGTGCGGCAAGAAAAACATTGTAAAATATTGCAAAATTCAGAGTCATCGAAAGTCTGTATAAAACTGATCTTTGTCTGCTGTTAAAAACCTCAGAGACAGCTGTCCTAAAATATAAAGGCTGTTTTATATTTTCATTTATATTGTGAGAAAAAAGTGATATTATAAACACAACATGCTTTGAATATTAATATCTATACTAAAGCCAAATTAAACAAATTAACAAGCATTATTATCATTAAATTATATATATATATATATTATATATTATATTATATTATATATATATATATTAATATATATTCATACTCATTTAATTATTGCAGAAAAATTAACGTCCAGAAATGTGAAGTAAAATTTACCATTTCAGTTATATAATTATATTAAATTAATAAGTAATTATATTACTACATATTACAAAAACGTTACACTTTGAATGATAATTAGTTTTTAAATAATTATTATAATTTTTATTTAAATAGATAACTGATGAAACATTATTTGAAAACATATTTACATATTAGTATAATGGCATACTAATGCTGTTCAGTTGCTTTGTCACAATCTGTATTGTTAAAAGCGCTATATAAATAAAGGTGACTTGACTTGACTTGACATACAAAAAGCAACTTTAATTATATTACTACACATTACCAAAAAAAATCCAATCCATTTAAATAGACAACAGATAAACATTATTTTATTTATTTATTATATCACACTTCAAAGACAAAATCATACTGATTTTTATTTTTATTTTTTTACATGTGTCATTATATAAGTAGATGACCTATTATTAAAGAAAAAAGCAAACTGCAGTTGTAGTCTAGTGGGAGGAGTGAGAGCTTAGGGAGGAGAGAAATGACTGAGTGAAGTAAGTTGGTGCTTCTTGTTTCAGTGCTTTACTTCTGATATGATTCTTGAAGTAACTTACTGTAAGAGCCGGCACAGCAGTTCACAATACACGGTAATAAGAAGAAGACTACATAAGATTTCTGTCATCACAGCTGGAGAAACTGAAGACATTTCAACAGTTTTGTGAACGTTACAGGAGATCAGGACTGATGGATGTATTTTGCTCTTTGTTGCTCTGCTTTCATCTCTTAACTGCAGTTCAAGGTAAATCTACACTGAAATTTATTTCTGGACTAGTGGTACAGAATACGTTCTTGCATTGCTGATCTGTTTTTTATTTAATAGCTGGTCTGTGTACATATGCATCACACTGACGTATTTGGCTGTCAGTCGCGTTTTACCCTTTTTATGCGTTTTAATATCGCGGTTCACGTTTTAAATACGGGGCCCCTGTGTTCTTTTCAATCCCGTTGCGTTCCGAGCGCGTTCTGTGTGAACGGCCCTGATTCTGACATTTGTTTACTTGTGAAACGTCCTCAAGGCTGATCGGGCGTGTGTCAGCTTGCTTTAAAACTGAAAACCAACTTTTCGTCCCCTCAAGTTTTGGCCTGAAATCAACACTCAACTCTACAAAAAGACCGTCATCTGTCAATAGTTTGTGATCGATTGTGTTTTATGTTACTGCTCAACTTAACACTATTCAGCGACACGCTACTTTCCTCACATTTAGTTCAGCGGCTCCTTTTAATTTTCTACCGTGGTTTAAAGCCGTGTAATTTTGCCCAAATACTTAGATATTTGGTGAAGTCATACCGACAAGAACGATCAAAGATTTGGTGCATCCAGTCACTGAAATTAACGCTTTCTCGTGTGTAGAGATAACAAGCAAATCATTTTATAATGCTGTTGTGACGACTGCTTGATTCATGAATATTAATTAATAAAGTCAGGTTTATCTAGCTGATTGGCTTAAACGTTAGTGGGCGTTAAACAGCTAGCGGATCCTACAATGCTGAATACTTAGCTTGTGAATATTAATGTAGTTGGAGTGCCTAATTAATATGCATTAGCTAAGTTGGTCAACAGTAGTGTTCTAAATTTAATTATGCAAAACCAGTGTTTTCAACGTCTGCTACACGCATTTGACCATTATTAAACGCTATAATCACGATGTGTCGTCTTAACCCGAATTTAACAGACGTTAAAAAACAATTCAAATCAGAATGCATTCCTTCAAGTTGAGGCGCCTCTGCGCAGACCGATCGTTGTATGACATCACAGTACCGTGAGAGCTATACTTTGATGTCATCGAATGTATCGACTCGCGGTACTTTGATGTCATACACAGATCGGTCTGCGCAGCGCACGCTCCCTGGATCTTGTGTTCTGCAGTGAGGGGCTACTGGGGCTGTTTAAGTCTAACACACCTACAGACTCCAAATCTTTGGAGTCTCACCTCAGTCGTGGTATTGAGGGTGGAAGAGAGCGCTGGACATTCACTCCCCCCACCTACAATCCCTTTCAATTATACTTTACGTTGCTTCTTGAAGCTTGACAGTGTGAGGAATAGTTAGAAATGTACTGATAATCCTGCCCTCCAAAAAAAAACTCTTAAATGTCATTTGGATTTGTGTTCATTTCCAAAATAGTGTCTTTAGATGCATCACACCAGGTTTGACATTTATCAGGTGACCGATTTTACAGAAGTCATGATCAGTGAACAACTTAAAACGATTGCAAAAAAGGAAGACGGTGTTTGAATTTTTTTGGTGTCCTTTTGGATCTCGGCAGCATAAATCACCATTCATTTTCTTTGTATGTAATCCAACCCCAGCTAGATTGCTAAAGCTGCTTAATCTGGGGAACCACTACACACACACACACAGATACACACACAATGATGGTACATACACAATTTTAAGCAAATGTGCACACACCACACAAACAGACACATTTTTCTTCCTCACGGTAGTCACAGGATGTACCCACAGTTTCAATTAAAACTTAACACACGCATGCAAATCTGCACACAATCATACAAAACCCAGAGTCTCGTGAGTAGGCGAACGTTATGAGGTCCAGCTCAGTCTCCACACATACACAGACACACGCCTCCTCTCCTTTAACATTTAACTCAGCGGAATTTACAGAATGTCAATGTTCCCCTTTTCTCCCTCATTTCATA